ACATTTAGTGTTTGAAAAGTTTCTCTGGAAAATTAACCCAAGATCTATAACATGAGTATGGTATTCGTGTTTCTCAGCTCCTCAGTTCAAAAGCACGCATTAGCAGTTTGCTTTTACCAAATGATATCCTTTAACAAATCTGATACTTTCTCCCCAACCATCTTTATCTCTCTAGCCTCAGGACATATATTGTTTAACTTCCAAAATGCAAACAGAAGGTAATAGAATCAGACTTAGTTGTTCTCTYATTTGGCTTGTTGTGTTTCACTGTATTAAGTGAGATGTTAATAGTAACAGAACAAGTGAAGAGGAGTAAATATAGGAAAAAATAATATTATCTGCCACTGTGTGCAAGTCTTCAGGCAGCAGGAAAGCAGAGCTGAAGTGAGGACAAGGTGGGACCTCCCTGTCAGCAACGTGGACTCCCTGCCAATGTGAGTGTGTTCCTACCACAGCCTGCGAGGGCAATAGGAACAGAGCAGCCTTCTGCCTGCTGCAGCATCTCTCGCTGTCAGAGATGCGAGGTGGGGGGAGACTGTTCTCTTGGAGGTGTCTGAACAAGAATGTTCACGCTTGGAACTTGCACCAGTTGCTCTGATTTGGCCGCTTCTGCATCCTCACTGTAAAGGACTCCCACGTGATCTGTTGTTGAGGTTATCAAACTGCCCATATAGCTAATTGAATGTTGCAGCTGCTTTCCGTAGTGATGTGCTACGGAATCCATCTTCTATGGTAGATAAGCTGTTCTCTGAATATTTATATATATATATATATATACACACACACACACACACACACACTTAATGATCATTTATAAAAAGGGGAGACTGGTTGCTTGCTAGTGTTCTTGAAGCATATTGTCTTTAAAAACAAAAGTTTTTTTCTCGGTGGGTGAGGGGGGTTCTACTTTAAAAAATGAAGAAAAGGAAATATAAAGATGTTACAGGCTTAGAAGTGGTGTCCTGCTTTGAAGAGAAAGGAGTAGGCTATCAAGAACACATGTGTGAGTTGATTTAGCGAGAAGGTAGAAAAGGGGGCTGCGTGGTAGAATGAAGGTCTGGAGCTTGGATTTGTGAAGTTTTCARTGCTTTACCAATTATGCTACTTAACTGAGAAGAAAAAAAACACTTTCTTGAGAACTATTTGTCTTATGTTGCTCTCAAATGAGCTGAAAATATGTTCCCCTTCAGAATTACTTTTTTAGTTTCTTTGAATGGGCCATATACARTCTGCATCTCTGCAGCCTAACTGCAAAGTAATTTGAATTAACTTAAAATCTGCATATTTTCAATGCAGATGTTAATACAGGTTGGTAGGTATTAAGCTAAGGCACTTGTCAGTTGATTACAGCAGTTCAAAATACACAGAAGTCCTTCCTAAAGTTAATGTTTAATTGGGTAACCTATTTGTTTTTCTTGCAGTTTGTACTAAGAAATTACAGAGCAGTTGTTTAACAATTTTCGCTATCAGGAGCCACAAGCTAAAACAGGCTTTACATTGGAAAATTCAAAATCGACAAGGCAAAAAGTCTCAGCAAGCAGCTGATGGGAGAGTTTTTTTTTGTGGAAAGTAGGTTTTTATGAGGCCAAACATTGTACTAACTGCCTAGACTGTGTACAAAGCAGTGAACTTGACTGCTGCAGTCAAGATGGGCCTTTCTTAAAGCAGCCTGCGTCTCGTAAATGCCTTTGAATTCAAGATGAGTGCTTGCTTTTCTGCTTTCTAAGGCAGTTGGGGGTTCATTTTTATATGTGAGTTACTGTGAATGTCAACTATTTGTGAGTGACAAAAGTGAAGCAGGATACCTTCAAAATAGGTATTTTATTTCCCTCTAAGAAATATCCCTTTCTCTTTTAGTTCTGCCCTATTTTCTTTTCCCTCTCACCCCCAAGCCCCAGGGCTCTTATCAGCAACCTAAATGACAGGGTGTGACTGTGCTCTGAACTCTTTTTAAACTCTTCAACTAAAAGTGTTGTTGACATTTAAAAAAATATAAAAGACAATTTAATTCACGGTGTTCCTTATCTAGACAAACCCTGGTCTAAGACATTATAGCCCGGACTGGAAATGAGATAAAGTTAGTTGGTCCAAACAGTAGGAAAGCTGATTGTGCATGTATCTATCTTCTAAAGCAATTCCTTGCTTATGGAATCCTCATCCAAAATAAATAATGTGAAGAAATGCTAATGTGATTAAACATGAAGAATGTTGTTATGCGAGCAGGGAATTTCAGGCATTGCCCAAATTCAGTTGTTCCCTGCGTTGTGGAAACGCAGTATCACTGACCTGTGTTCTCTCATATTTCTAGCAGGGCCTTGGGAAGCGCCTGCGTTTCCTGGTGTGCGGGAGCCGCTCYGGGTGCTCGTGGCCACCTGGCAGCACGGAAGTGGCGGGGCCGGCCGCATTCCTTGGCTCTGCTCCGGCTGCGTGAGGAAGCACGAGGGTTACAGCCCATCTCCTCCGGGCTTTGCTGTTCCAGCAGGTCACCGCCCTTTCATTTTTAAGCAGTGCTGGAGTTCAAATCATGCTTTGTATCCAGGTACATCTTCCAAGGAAATAAAATTGTTGACTATTTTGCATTAGGCAAAAACTGTAGAATTTAGCTTACTCAAAGCATTGTGGTTATTTACAGATGAAATTATAAAGTAAATATTTTTAGTTCTAAGTGTTTTTTTGCCAAAGCCAAAGAGTGCATTTATGTACTTTTACATATATTTGATATATTCTACACTGACCACAGAGGCCAAGGGATTGTGTCTTGGTTGGCCGATTGCTCTTTGTTTCTGGCTTAGGTGAGGGAAATTGTGGGAAGAATTTTCCCATTCACCACAAGTGCATTAGCCTTCAGTTCTGGAGGTTTAAGTCTCACTTGATGCTGAAATCTGAATGCAGGGTCTTGCTCACGTTTAATGCTGCTTTTGAAGATGGCACATAAAGCTATTTCAATTGCACTATTGATGTGCCTCCATTATTCAGACATCCTTATTAATTTTCCCTTTGTAATTTGCTGGGAGGATTTTTTCCAGCAGTTTGTCTCATTATTTGAGATCATTCACTTTATTTCTTTTTTTTATGATCAAAGCATATTAGTGAATCCCACAGCTCCCTCAAGGCTTGTTCAGACATAGCCATTCTCAGACCATAAACTTGATTCTTTTTTAATCTTTTTTTTGTTGTTGTTGCAAATTCAACACTGACATGTGCGAGAACAGGAGCGGAAGAGGAAGYGTGTTAGCTTTTCCATTTCATATCTTAAGCAGCAGGCACTTTTGCATCACTTTTCACTGGACTACGGTATATCCTTGACTTCCAAGGAGAAGAAAAAGTGGAAAAACCCTCAGGTTCAGTCTTGTAAGTGCTCATTTAAATACACAGATCATGCACAAGGGGAAACATTTTTTGTGTGTTCAGAAAGGCACGTTCAAAGGTATTCTAACTGTAGGCTTGTGATTTATATTTTCGTTTGCTTTTAGTTTTCAGTTCAGTACATTTTGATACTGACTCACCTTGGTCTTTTTGCCTCTTATTTTAATTTCTTTTGCAGCAACCATTCAGTTTTAAAAGGCTTTTTTTATCAGACAATACATGAGCAGGATTTTGAAGCATGTTACTCGGTTGCTTCAGCAACTGCTAGAACTTTGCAGGGCTTCTCAAAGCAGGTCTGAATACTCAGTTTACTAAGGTTTTTTGCTCATACACAGATAAATCTGAATTTCATGGAGTTGTACAAGCTCTGGCACGCTCGTTGCCTTTCCTCTTAACCGAGGGGAGGACACAGTTGTAATTCTGGCTCTGTGGAGCTTGCAATACTGTTACTTTAACAGAGAGAGCATTTGCAGCAGCGTGTTAGCGAGTGCATTTTACTACTTGCCATAGGAGCAGGCAGAGTTTGTCTGTGTAGCAACAGCTCCCCGAGCCAATGAGCGGGGCCGGGCGCTGCCGAGAGTGGAAGCATTTTTAACACTTCCCCTCCTTTATTTTTTAACACGGTCTTTTCTGCGCCCCTCCTCCACTGCAGGCTCACAGTGACGGGAGCTTTCGTTCTCTTCTGTGCAGTAGAGCTTGGGTGTTAGGCAGAGGCAAATTACCAAATTTAACTAAGCCCTTTCTGAAATCGTTTAAATTTGGCCTGTATTTGCCAAGAAAAGGTTCCAGTGTRTTGCTTTGCTCTGCCTTTCCATAAATGCCTATGCTGTGCCAGCTGTATGGTTTAGCTAAGATGTCTGAATTTCTACGTGCATGTATTTCAGGAAGCCTTGAGAGGTGATGTACATGTTTKATGGAGATTTATTACATGTTTCCCAAATTCCATTGCCTTTTAATATTCTGATTAAAAAAACCTACAGGAAAAGGATGGCTGGAAAGCTGCTGCATCCAAGAGAACATAACTAATTCCAAATCCTGTGCAGCCGAGTCGCAAGCGGTTAACGCTGCCATTAGGGAGTTTCCTCTAGCCAAACAGGGGGAGGTGGACAGGGAATGTAGCTGATACTGGTGAGTGCCCTTATGCTAAGGAAGTGGAGTACGTGGAGGGTTAATACAGGTTAGAAAAGCTAGTGAGGAAGAAAGGAATTTTATTCCCACCTTTCAGGTGTATATGCCAATTGACTGCACTGGGTAAGAGAAAAGCAAAACCAAAAAGATCTCTGACTCTTCCCCAATCTCTTTGTTTTGGAGCAAAAGAGAAGTGGTCTTTTTACTTAAAGTTTTCAGTCCCTGGATGAATTGATAATTCTTCACTATTGCTTCTATCCTTTCCTTCCAATGTCATTATCAGGATTGTTTGACAAATCAAGATAATTGTCATAGCAAGCAGTGTCTTTGGCAACAAAATCCAAGCTACACTAGCAGCAATTGAGTTTCAGGGAAAATTTATATGGTATTTCCTGAAATAGCAGGTTGTTAAACTCACAGGCTATGTGCGCTTGCAGAGTAACATGACCTTCTGTTTTTGACAAGCCCCTGAATTTAGCTTTATGGGATTTTATATTCCACAGTCATGCTGGGAGATTAGCAGTCCCTTTACCAAAGAAGAATCTCAGTGCTAGATCATGAATGGTGTTTGCAGTGCTCCTCTGAAGAAAGGTAGAACTTTTATTTTCTCTGTGTAGTCAATATTAAATCTTCTCATTGGGTGTTTTTACYTAAGAGTGAAAAGTATGATCAATCAAAAGGCCTTTGCCTTTGGTTTGGGAGGGATTTAAAAAAAAAAAATCATGCATTAACTTTATGTATCATTTATAAAAGATTCACTTCTTTTAAAACCTACATATGACAATTTTTTGGAAAGATAGTTTTATCTGTGTTGTTGCAGGTCTCGCAAGGCAAGTCAGGAAATGTTGAGCACTCGTTAAATGATCCTCTGTGTTTGCATCATGTAGAAAGGCACAATACAGTATTTTAAATGATGTCATCCAGTGGGGAGCTGTAGCAGCTTGTGATACATGCATGCTGCATAGTGTGCAGGCCACAGAACACACCTAGAAAGGCAGCTGTTAGAGTCATCCAGCCTTTTAATTAATAGAGCCTATTAATTAAAACCAACATGAAGATCAAGTAGTTAGCACTTTGGAGTGTCASGTAATGGCAATCATACACCAGGGAGCTATGCTAATGTGCTGTTTTACATTTTCAGTAGGGTAWAAAGAAGCTCTCTGAAACTAGTTTATAGCTTAGCATCAGGATGGGACAGTGTGGTATTTCAGTAGTGTTCAGTTGCAAGGGTTAGATGTAACAGGCCCTTGTTTCTGCTGTTCCAATTGACATACATCTCTGACTGTCATGGATATTGCCATGCCGTGTACATGAGTGAGCATGAGACATTTCACTTTTATGAAATGCAACAGGCATCTGGAGGTTTAGAAGAGATCACTTAGTCGTTCCTTCTGCGTTTGGGTGTTGTGTGTTTTTTTTTTTTTTCCCCCAACAGGAAAACTTTAAGAAACTCAACTTTAGCGTAACTGAGGAACTGACTTCGTTGTTCTGTCCCTATTGGCAAATGACAGTTCTGTAAATAACCAAACAAATCTTGGGAAATTTAACTGACGTTTTGTAGGCAGCCCATGGTCTGTGAGATGTGGGGCGCTGGGACACTGTCAGTGTCCAGCTGCTGCTTCCCACTTAGTTGTGGAGGCAGGAGGGGTGTCCAGGGTTTCTGGGGAAAAATACCCTGCAGTTTAGGTTCACTTTCTGTTTTGCCTATTGCTGTGCTTTGCTAATGACTGAGGGGGAGTAGTTGGCTTGTGACCAAGAGGAGGAAGGGAGTGGAGGAAGAGGCCTCTTCTTCCTAATCTCTTGTGTTTCTCCTCTAAACCAACCCCATGATTGCTGTCGTTTCACATGTTCTGTCTAGTAAATAATGTTTTGATCCCCACAGTTTGCTGTCAATCACACAGAGGGACTGTAAAACATGAGTGTCTTCTAACAAGTTTCTTGAACTAGTAAAGGCATTTGAGCTAGTTACAGAAGAAATGAGCAGTGGCAGCTGAGCCCATGCTGTTTTTTTCCAACAGAGAAGACTGTGGAGGTCAGGATGCTGCCTTCGTTTTTCCCTTAGTACCAGTATCAAGTACTTAGAGCCTAGTAGCAGCTAAATCTGATGTTTAGGGGAACTTGTGTTGAGTGGAGTAGTGACACTTGACATAGTGAGAATACAAACTAGTCATCTCTTCATGGTACAAGAAAGGAGCAGAAAAGAGTAGAGAATGGTAAATTATGTCCACATACAGTAGTTTTGATGTAAACTTTGCTAGATCACAAGCTTTTAACCCATTTCTTTCAGGTAAACCCTTTCTTTCTCTTCCATACTTCACAGTTCAGCAGAATCTGTTTGATTATATTCCTTCTGCCTCTAATCTGTATTTAGATCTCTTCAGTGAATCTTTGCTGCTCAGTTTGCTTCGAATAAATGATGTGAATTCCTACACCACCGAGCCAAGATAAGTTTTGACAAGCTGCAGAAATTGGGTGAGTGGAGATTTGTTAGCTGTCTAAAAATGTCTTAACTGTGTTTCAGAGTCAGCCTTAAAAATGGTACATATAATTATTGTATAGCATTTTGTTATTAGGAAAAAAATAGAGATTTCATCTAGTCTATTTTATGTCAAGCTTTTATGTCTTTGCATAGCACTGTTTAGCGCATCTCATTAAATTTAATTCCTTATTAAAAATTATTTTGCCTTCTGTGAAGAAGAATTTTCTTACCATTCTGTTTTGACAAACTTTAAACAGACTTCAGTGCAATGGACTTTTAAAGCTGAAATCAGGTTATCTGGCTCTYACTTCTTCTACAAGAGAAGGATAGAACTTTACTTCAGCTGAAAGCTAGCTAGTTCTCTGTAATCATAATCACGAAACCTGTGGCTTGAAGAGAATGACACATCTTGATTCAGCAATAAAGCTTTATTTTATTCCAGTTAGAATTTGTTTTATGTTGTAAGAAGTTACAAGATGTTTAGTATGTTCAGTGATATGTGCTTCCCATCAGGTTTTTGTACATTTTTAAAAAGTAAGCAAAATGCCTAACTTATAYATGGTTTCTGAACATACATTAGGATCATTTTTTCTCTCTGGCAAACTGCTGAGTACCTGATGCATTAGTGATTCAGACCACATATTTTCATGCTTAGGTTTTCCTAAGTGTATATAAGTTAGCACCAGCTTCTGAGCACTTTAAGCTCCTTGTTAAGAAGAGTATTATATTGCTCAAAATCTTGTTTCCTTTATCCTTGCGCGTGCTGCCATTTRCATGTTCTGATTTCATGGGTCTGGAGGGGGCTGGCTAGCAGTTAATCGAGTGTAGAGTGTCACTGTGTTTTGCTTTTTCCTGGCAGCATGTCTGAGACAGCTGCAGAAAAGCGAGTTCTGTACACCACTGAACTAGCTTCCCAAAACATTTGCACTGACAAATACTTTGGATTTTTAAATTTTAAATTTTCTAGTTCATTTTGAAAAGTGATATGTTATAGATTTTAAAAAAAATTGTTGCAAGAGCAGACTTACAAAAGAGGATCTTCACCTCAGATCTCGGCARAGAAGCAAAGATAATGACAAAGAACCCTATTTATTTTACAAAGTTTGCCTTTATTTTCAAAAAGCTCAACTTTTCTTCTCATTCCCCAAAATTTCTTGCTCTTCATAAATAACCTTCCATGAAGAATAGTTGCTGTATTTATTCCAAAAGATGCCTGTATTTAATACAAACATTAGTCTGGAGGTCTTTTGTTCTGACCTAAGATAAAAGTCTTAGTGTACGACAATGGGAAATAAATCCTTGTTATGAGACTATTCTTAGATTAAATGAATGCATTAGCCATTTTTATTTTAGGTTTCTGATTRCTTCAGCTTGAACATTTCATTACAAAAGCACTATCGGATGTGGAAGCAGGGCGTAAAGGTATTACATTAAGATTGGCCTCTCTTGGGGACTTGGATGGTTATGTGAACRTGCCTTGTGTTTGAGCAAAGTTAAGGGTTTGTTTGTTTGTTTGTTTTGGTAAAACAGTGTCTTAGTCRAGCATGCCAGATCTGGCTGCTGTGCTTGCACTGGTACCTGGCTTCTAGTAGCTGCAAATAGAGCAAATCAGCATTGTAGCCTTGAGAGTAAGAGCAGTTTTTAGGGATACAAATAGAAATTAGGTGTCCAGCTGCTGCTGACTGTAGGCTTTGCATTGTTTGGTGCACTGCTGCCCTTGCTGTTTGATTGTTAGTATGTTTTTGTTTGTTTTGAGGGGGGGATTGGTTTGGCTTCATATTTCATATTTTTTAGGGCTGAAAAATAATTATTAGGACTATTTCATCCATCCCCTGCAATCTCAGGTCCATGATTTCTAGCTTATTTTTCAGCTGACTGCTTTTTATCTCAGATTAGGAAGTGAAAATTTTCTTGCACAAGCAGAGCAGGTGCCAGCCACAACCTTTTAAAAGTGGCAGAAAATTTGCTATTTCATCTGAGGAGCAGAGCTGCAAGTAAGCTATGTCATACCGGATCTCTCCTCACTTATATTAATTGCATGGAGCTCAAAGCTTGGTTTGGTATGAGCTGATTATAAAAACAGGACTTGGAGTCAATTTACTGAAAGTATTCTCCCAAATTAGGTCAGGACCAACAGTCYGCTGTTAGAGCATCAGGGCTGAGAGAATAAGAGAACACAGAAAATGAGCAGACTTTTTGTTTGAATAGGTTGTTCTATCATTGTAGTTGTTSAAGTTGATAACCTGAAAGAAGAAGGGTTATTATTTCACAGATAAATAGCCTAAATTCTGATCAGCTGGAACTGATGACTACTGGCATTTAAGAGTCATTGGCATTTAGAACTCATCAAAAATGTTTAGAGAGGGTAATCCCTTCCTATAGGGATATACCCACGTGCTGTCACAGTACATTGCAGAGGCCAAGTTCTCTCTGACAGTATGTGAAAGCTTTAAAATGTCCTATAAAGTCATCAGCTGCAGGACTCGTTGGACACTCATTCTCAATGGTTTTGTAGAAGACCAGTCATTCTAGATCCAGCTGTCTGAACACAGCAAACATTGTTATTTCCCGGCAGTTGTATCTAAAACCACATCTTGGGGAGGAAAACACAATATTTGTCAAAATGTTCACTTTTGTGATAAAGGTGACAAATGAAAAAGAAACATCTGACACTATTGCTACTGATTTCTAAGCTACATTAGGTTATTAGATAAGCCTTAAAAAAAAAAAAACTTTATTGTTTGGTTGCATATAAACAGAAGAGATGAACTAAGCTGACAGTTTGCTCCTGCTGAATGGAATGTGTGGTCTTTTCATGTCCCTTCTGCAAGGCCTGGCATTCACCTCATCAGCACATGACCAACAAGCCAATTGCAGTCTCCTAATGCAGCAGAAAATGTTTGTTTTTTGGTTCATTTTTGTGCCATTACAGTTGATTTGGCTCGTGATGTAGTCAACTGCCGGAGCCAACTCCAGAGCCGCAGGAAGAGCGTGTGGCTGGAAGAGGGGAGGAATTAGACAGGAGTACGAAAGGACTGGAGAAAGAAGACAGGCTGTTTTGCAGTTTTTAATATGTAACAGATAACTTCCAGATGTCTGCAATTTTTCTTCTCCTTTTTATTATATACTGCTTCATCAGTATACAGTACAAGTTGAAAGAACTGTAAAGAACTGTATAGAATTATTGCTGTTCCCCTGGCATCTTCCTTGCTTCCTTCCCTCAACCCCAATAGTACAGAGAAGAAGTTCAGGAAATACTTTGGTGCACTAAAACTTGTCCTTTATTCAAAAGAGATTTGCATGGTTATAAATAGATTGAAATACTKAACTTATAACAGCTAACATTTGAAAAACTAACGTTGTGGTTTTAAAAGAAGGTGGACTGATACCCAACAGTTAATATTAAGTCAATTCAGCATCACAGGGATGAACTGTGAGGCTGAAATTGCAGGTTATGGAGGAAGCCAACGAAGTCCCTGGAATCCCAAAGGCYGGGCAGCCGAGATGGGCACAGGTCACATCCAGAGGAACCAGCACCAAGTGCCAACTGAGGAGCTTTGCTGGCTTCAAGGGCATATTGTGCATCTGTGCCATAGGCTGCCAGTTTTAATAATCCAGTGAAGTAGCCCTGGTTTCTGTGTGAGGCAGTTGGGATCTTTCATTCATCCTGCGTCGTGTTTGTGAGCATCAGCCAGCCGGGGAACAAGAGAGCTCTGTGTGCTCAGCCTTGTGCCCGGGCTGCCGAGTCCCCTGCGCTCTGCAGCCTGGTCAGACCGCAGCCTGAATTAACTGGCAAGAGATTAGTACAGTCCTGATTGTTGGGTGAGTCCTTGTCAGTGATCTCATCCATATGGTGAGAAGGAAGGGGATCACATATATTTAAAATTATGCAAGGCTTATTCATTTCTGTTATCTAGTAATAGCAATAAAGCTGGAGAAAATGAGAGAAAATAGATGGTGGAAAACTTTATTGATTTTTTTTTTCTTTGAGGGAATTCACTTGCTTTTTTTATAGCTTACCCTTTTCTTCATAGAAGAAGATCATATTGAATAGCTCAGGTAGAATTTGCTTCCAGTCTTTAGTGAAAGGAGAAAAAGGAACAAATCTAGAGTCACATTAAATATAAAGAGAAATGCACAAAAAAGCCCTGCTGTAGTTCATGTCATTTATGGCCAATCAGCTTTTTAAGTACACTCATTAATAATTTGTCACAGCCACAAATTAACATTCTAATGAATTCAAAACWTTTTTTTTGCCATATGTTTATAATCTTTCCCCATCCATATTTGGGATTCAAGAAAGATTAGTTAAGTTGTGATGAATAACATAAAATCCATGACTAACCTACTCAGGAGAAGTTCTGTTTGTACAATTCCACACAGAAAAGCCAAGTGACAGAAAGCCCCTCATTGTTGGACACTSAAACAAGAATCTTTTATTGACTGGGATGTGCCCTTCAGAATAAACATTATATGTTTTATGATGCTCTTTGGTAACGGSCAGGTTTTTTTCTTAATTGCAGTCTGAACTGGCACGGCTGAAAGCTTTTGCCTTGATAAAGTACCTTTGGGCACAGAATTGATAATGTACCTTTAGAAAACATAGAGCTAATTCATATTGAAATAACATTACAGTCTCAGAAAAGGAAAAATCTGTTTCTGTTTTGTAACATTACATAATTGGTTGTGTGTTCTTAAGTAATGTGTGTTATGTAGGCTCTGTGCTTGGTAGTTACCAACTGTTATTCATTTTAAGTATTAAAATTTGAGGCTTAAGCCARTGTCTCATTAAAATATTTAACATTTTTTTCAAAGCTCATGGCTTCCAACTGGAAATTTAAAAAGTTGTGATAAGTGAAGGTCAATAGAGATATTGTCAGTAGTCTGTGTGTGTGTTGTAAGGTAGTTATTTTAAAAATGCAGTAGTCACCAGAGCTGTCAAAATGTACTAGAAGTTGTTAAAACCCTTATTTTAGTTTTACTTCTCAATAATGGGCATCTTTGTTGATGTGAATATTTAGAATCTAATCCATGATTTTACTGAATGATAGGCAACATTAGGTATCTCAAGACCCCTTATATAGGAGGCCTATTGTTTGATGTGCCGTTCCATGGACTGGATAATTAGGGATGGTATGGTAATGGTCTGTCAGTACAGAAGCTTGAATGGTCTCTCGACTCCTACCTGAAGTGTGCCCTGTGGTCAGTTTGTCTTGTGCAGGGTTGAGTTCATTCTACTACTGGAGAATTCCCCCCTTCTCTGAATTCACTAAGAACAGATTTTGGGCAGACTTTATCAGACAAGAGTGACTCTGCAGGACTGTAGACCTTGAAGAGGTAGGGAGGTGAGTTAGCTGCCCCAAGGCCAAGGGGAAGCYGTCAGTTAGTGTAGTAAAGCTCTACTGACCTTCCTTGTAATGTAGCTATCCAAAGAGATAGTATTTTGTAGTCRCTAGTAATCTCATTCCTCTTATGAGTCCTGAAAGATGGAGGGGGGGGCGGGAAAAGTAATATGCTTCTAAAAATTTTGAAGAAACACATTGGATGGGGGGAAAAGAAGTCCAAAGACTTTCCTTTGRAGAGCACCAATATTTTCTGTTTTGGGTAAAGGTTATACAGCTGTTTTTATCCCTGGGTTAACATATTCAGTTACAGGAATCATTCCACTCTAATTGAGCAAACACAGGAGAAGATTTATGTAACTGAAGATCTGCAACCGCCAATCAAATTAATTGGGAAAGGAATAATTAGGCAAATGGCAGTGTCCAAATGGTCCCAGTAGAAAAATGTTTGACAATCCCAACAGAATCTCATTAATGTTACTTGTGATGAGCTGTGCAAATGTGGAAGGATCTCAGTGGGATGTCGTTTGGATGTGAAGCAGAAACAATATCAAGGTTTTAAGCTGTCTCGTCTCATTATTGTCACATAGTCAAGGCTGCAACTCTGCTATCTACTTAAAAACCTTTCTTGATTGAATGAGCCCTTCTGAAATACCTGCAAAACTTTGGTTTTAGTGCTTGTTATAGAATTGTTGTGTACCAGAAACGGGTTYTCTTACACCTAGCAGATGCTATTTGTCTCATTTTCATGTTTGGTCAGGCTTATTCCAGATGCATTTGCTTGAAGTCAAGAGCTTACTGTTTCAAAGAACAGAAGCATTAGTAAGCATATTATCTATGCTTTCCACTGTAACCTTATCAGGTAGTGAAGTAAGCGAAAAAGGACATCTCTTCCAGTTCTGATATTGTGGCTTGGGGCTACAAATCTGTTTTCATAGGAAAACAGTAAGCAAGTTAGCTAACATTTTAATCTACATCATGAAGAGATATATTTGCACACCYGTAGGAAATCATATCCTTTGGTTCTGTTAGGGAAAAACATATTAGGAGAGGACTTATCTGAGCTTAATAACATCACTCCTTCCACCTTTACCAGCATCCACTTTGCTGACTGTGTTTTGAGACCAGGACCTGATTGGTTTGGACTGCTGTAGCAAAGAGGTGAATTAACATGGGATTTATCATATGTATAGTAGTTGTCATAGGCAGTATTCCCCTTGGTTCCTGCTCTGTGATAGCAAGGTCTCTCATTTGGTCAGATAACTTTTTCTAAGGTATTTTCCTTATCTGAACTAAGTTAAGTGTTGGTAGGTCAGGTTTTCTGTGTTTGCAAAGTCAAACATAGCCTGGATGCTGTAACTGGAAAGCTGCAACTCTATTAAAAGCTATTGTATTTCATTTCTCTGGGTAATTATGTATTGTAACACTACAGTTTGCATTTTCACAGCTTACTTTTGAGGTATATATGACTCACTAAATATTACACACAATGAGAATATCAAATAGAATATCAAAACTAAACCATAAAAATGAAGCACCTCACAGATAATCTCACAGATAATGATTCAGAGCTTCAAACCTTGGTGGAAAAAAAAAAATCGGTGTTTTCTCACTTCAGAGGAAGTAACCGAGGCCTGGAGAGGTTAAGGGAGCTGCTGTGAAGAATGTCTGTAACATCACTCCTGAAATAAATTGTCCCATAGACTATTCTAATAGAATTAGAATAATGGCTTTCATTGCTGTAGCAGTGAGCTACAGTGCCTTCCTGATTTGAAATGCTAACAGGATTTCGGGGTTGTTTTTTTTAAATCAAAATAAGCTAACAGCTGAGTATTACATGATGTAGTGAATTCATTTTATTTTTATTGAAGAGTAAATTAGTCCCTGTCATGAAGGTCTAGACTGAGCGTCCTGGAAACCAAGAGCCTTTCTTTATCACAGAGAAAGTTTATAATAAAGTTGTGTGCGTGTTGTATTTATCAACTTGACTTTCCATGTTGTCTTTAGCAGATGATGTTTTTAATTAACTTAGCTTTCTGTTACAGTGGGTAAATTCCAATTAGGCAGACCATCTTTATGTGTTTTTTTTTAATGTGAGTGTAAAATATTCACCAATTTTAGATTCCTTGGACCACACCGATTCTTGGGGCCATGATCGTGGTTTGGGATACTTGAGTAAGTGACTCCAGCAGCAGAGGAGGAGGGTGRGAGAGTGCTGGTCATCAGCACCAGAGCTTGTTTCCAGGACTGCCAACCATTCCCAAATGAAGTCATGTTGATGTATAGATGGGGACACTGAGCTGAGCATTAGCTGCTGTGTAACTCTGGGCTCTTTTTAATTTTTTTTAGGTAAAGCTGTGGGTGTTGGCATGGATCCCATCCCTTAATATTCGGACTGAAGGGTATCAGCAGGCCCTGCAGTTCTTACGCCCTTGTGCCCTTCGCCCTGCTCCTTGGAGGCTCCTTACCGCTTCTGTAGCAGAGCTTCACGGAGCTCATGGTGTCAGCAGTCCAGCTCTGAGATCTGCTTTGGGGAACTGCTGCACTAAAGGGAATCTGCTCAGAAAGCAGTCTTCATTACGTCACCAAATGAAATCTCAGTAGCATGGTTTTTATCATGTTCGGGGCTGCTGTGCTGTATCCTGTCTTCTCAGTCCTCCTTTTAAAGCGCAGACAATTCATTTACAATTTACCCATGTCATGTTAGTAATAGAGAATGGAATGACTGGGCACGGGCCAGGCACTGCTGGGGGGTTGTTCTGCCCCGCGCTCCAAACGGGAGGGTGCCAGGGAGCTGCAAGGCAGCCAGCCCTGAAGCACGGGCTTCTACGGTGGTTTTTATTAAGTTAGAATTCAAAAATAGCTGAAAGGCAAACCCACTCCTAGTTCTGATTGGAATCCCATTTTTCTCTAGGGATTGCTGTTGTTTACTAGCTGTATGTTGAAGTTATATTCTAGTGTGTGACTTTTTCCCTGCAGTGGAAAAGGCTTGAGGATGGCAGTGAGCACAGAGCCAAGTTGCAGAGAGCACAGGGAGACCTGCTCGACGCAAATGCTGCACTCCACTTCCTAGAGCTCTCCTGTGCTGGGCAGGCAGCAGTGAGTATCGAGCAGACCTAAAATTAGAGATGTCCTGGTAACGGTGGGTGTTCCAGATTGGCTTCTTTTCCAGCCTAGCTAATGGAAACTATTACATGTTTAAGCCATGTTTAGGACACGTTACATTTTGATGTGTGCAACATTTAGTTTATATTGTTTTTTGTCAGTTTTGTTTATAAAATCAAAGCACAAGAGTTGGTTGAAGATGAATAAGATTAGGGCTCAAATGTGGCTGCTCCAGATACTTGTGAGGTTCTCTTCTGTAATTCTAACAAACATCTCTTAAAGATTCTGCTGTGCTACGTATTCATAATAAACTATTATGAATGTGAGTAATTGAATGAATGAAATGAATAATGAAAAAGATAAACTAACAAACTTTATTATATTTGAAGAAGCTGGTTCATGCAAGGCCCTTGGTTTAAAGAAGTTCTTTGCAGGAATGGTACCTTTTCCTGTACTAGGTAGTAAGTTTGGCTCAGCAGGTTTACTGAACCCCTGAGCAGTTGGATACAGATTCCTAACCCTCCTTTCCTGTTACAGCACTTGACATTAAGGCTGTTGTCTTTGTCAGTGTTTATATTTCCTGAATAGGAAAGCAGTAATATTCCATGATGAAAAATATGCTGCAGTGTAGACACTGAGGGATTAGAAATCAATGTAGGTATTGATTTATTCTAAAAAGAGGGGGAAAAAAAAAACCCTATGGCAATAAAAAAAAAAAAAAACAACAATAACTGTCAGTGGGCAGTGTTCATATCACCAGTTKAAAAAATATATATCTGTGTATTTGTTTTCCTCATTGAAAAATGTCTGTGGGGGGAAAAAAGAATAACCTCGGATAGGACCTAAAACTGAATGGTTATAATGACCCCACTATACTGTTCTGTGTTCACGTGTAATTAGATGGTAATATTTTCAGTTGGAATACTACAACTATCCCTATATGCTTTCATATCAGTTAGAGATGTATGCCACCCTAGTTTTCCAAAAGGAGCAAACAGGCTAAATTAATTCATAGTTGATGCTAATGCTGTATTCACATACAGTTTTCGGGAGGAAAGTGTTTTGTGTGTGTTTGTAGAATTTAACACTTGAAGAACTTTAATGTAAGCTGCAGAAAAAGAGCGTTTATTTGTTCAAAAGTCAAACTATTAAGTGTCAAAAAGCCTGTCTCTAGCATCTACTAATATGATATATGAGAGACTAATAGTGATGTTGTTTTTCCTCTTGTTTTGCCACRTTTGGGAGCAAGCACCTGTGTGGTCAGGTAAGTAGGAAAAGGGTCTGCAGGCGAATCTGTCACTGCCCTGGTCGATGGAGCTGAGTCCTCGTGGTTGCACATGGCCCTGTGATCATGAGACGGGTTGACTGCAATGCTACACGTGAGCAGAGCCCCTCGCAGTTGTGAACTCTGGCTCTGTACCATTTAGCCAGACACTGTGCAGTCTGCACGTGGGGAAGATCACTGTCTTTGCAGGAATGACATCTCCCCTGCTCTTTCCACRTCTCTGCTCAGTATCTTGTGGACAGCAATTGTGTAAATGCAGGAATGGAAGGTTCTTCCCTCCGTTATTACCCCAAACGCTGCCATGCTGCTGTTGAAACGGTATAGGAAGTGCTCAGAAAAGGCATGGGAAGCAGCTCTAGATTGGGTAGCACTGCTCAAGTGACTCATTTGTTAAGGACAGAAGTTCACTGCTGATGGGTAGTATGTTTTTTTTTTTTTTTTTTTTTTTAACCACTGACTCTGCTCTTAAAAGAACACTTGAAATAGCAAAATGAGCAAATTGCTTTGCTATACTGGGAGCTGCTACCCTTCCCGGAGGAAAACTCAGTGACTCAGTGCGTAGCTGGATGGGGCTCCCAGGTGAGTGCACAGGGATACTGGAAAGATGGTTCTTTGCTCGTGCTTCCCTGCTTCAGACACAGCCCAATTTTCAACCTGGCGGAGATGCTTGGGCATGCCAGAAGGAGGCTTTTATTCTCCTCTTTGGCACAAGTTGCTGGCTTATATTTAAAAGGACTGCTGTGGAGCTTGGAATTTTAATTATTTTGAACCAACTTTTAGATTTGTTGCAATTAAATAAAGTATTTATCTTCCAGAAAAGACATTTAACTGGCTGTGAGTAATTGTACCAGACAGTGTGTGTTCAACTATGCTAAAATCTACTGTTGCTAGGCTTTGGTTTTCTTTTCCCAAGGTAGCACTAGGAGGAGGAATGGGCGAATGATATAGCTCAAATTTTAATTTTGAAAACCTGGCCTCCTTCTGAACTGCATAAGGCATTCAATTCTTTTCAGAGTAAAATGTTGTGATAAAAGGATCRTGTTTATATTAAAGATAATATAAAATCCAAAAGTATTTGTCATAGCAATATAGGATGAAGCTGTTGCAAAAAATCATGCAATTCCCTAGTAAAGATTGTMGTTTAAAAACAAACAACCCTCTCTCCCCCCGCCAAATAGTGGAAAAAAATGCATTTGTGTTTTACAAACTGATTGCACTTAATGGATTGAGAGACCAAAATCAGCTCTTGTCAACTTKTTATTTATTTATTTTCATTCTAACTTTCTCCTTACTTCTCTGGATGGAAACCTTTATACAGGCTTAAGATCAACCACTGGAATTAGGTGCCATCCCTTGAAGCCTTAGCCTGCCGTGTAGGAGAAGCTGCATTGTGAAGGATGACGCAGGTATAGTGTCCAGGATTGCAACAGAATTCATATGTACATGCTCAAGTTTTCTGGCATTGTTCAGTTTCACATACAGGGTGTTATTGAGAAAGTTAAGAATTTTGTTTAGTGTGATTCTATTTTTATGGTCTTTGAGGTATCAGAAAAATCTCCTCAAAGGAACTTTCCTTGATTTCCTTAAGGCCAAATAAGAATTGCATAACCATCCAATGGCTCTAACAGAACCACGTGTGTGGAAAGCGGTAAGGAAAATATAAGGAAAGAGATGGGTTAAAGATAGACAGGGAATGATAAATTTCTCAAAGTAACATTGTATATGTTACTACTTTGCTTGTAAATTAACGCTGCTTTATTTATTGATAGTTGAGTGAAACCAGCTCAAGGTCAGAAAGTTACAGAATTAAGAAATGCTCAAGGTACTGTGGTGGGTTTTGAGGGGAGGGGAAAAAAAAAMCCTTCTCTCTTTCTAAAAGGTCACCTGCAGGATGATGTGAAGCGATTGCAGTATTAGCAAAACTGTGTATGTTTGTTTTTTTGGAGATAAGTTATTTCCTTACAGTGATTACTTACAATTGTCAGTTATCTCAGTGGTTATCGATAATTATCAATTGAAGTGATTGATGACAATTTCTGTTAGTCACAGGTAATTTTTTATAGTGGATGTGCTGAAAAGCCTTTGATGTATTTTGTAGTAATTCTTGTTCCTCAAGAATAAGAAGCACTTTTGTCAGAGATTTCAAAACAAATATGAAGCTATGTAAGCAAACAGCTTGTCTATATGCTCAACAGAGTGTTCTGAAATTTTATTAAGGGGAAAGAGAATTTTGATATTGCCACTGTCTTTTATTCATCAGGCCTCCCACGCCTGGGCTGGCAGCAAAAATTCCGCAGGTGACAAACTCCCTGTTGTTGYGTGAGTATAGCCTGTATGTCACAGACCTTAGTCTTCCCTCCTGTTTCATATGACCTTGTAAGTGGTTTGTACATGCAGTACATAAATATGTATAAGTGATTTCCAACTCTGCTCCTACTGAAATGTCATGTTTTATTGACTTGATTTTTGCTTATAGTATTAGCAGGCCACATTCTGTGATTGTTAAAAAAATTATATACATTTTTTTTTCAGGAACACTAGTACTCTTGTTCACCTGTATTTGGGGTCTAGCTACTAAGAATATGTATTCTGGTGAAGCTATTTAAAAATTAAAATGAAGTTGGAAGTATTATCTCTAAAATGTTGCCTTTTTACAGTAATATATTTTGTTTTTGCAAAAGACCATCCGGCAGTTATGGTGTGACTCATAGAATGGACATACATTTCCCAGCTGATAATACATTTTATTTAGGTCATTTTCCACACAAGTTAGCATTAAATGTGCTATTGTAATGTCATCTGATAAGATTATAATGATAAACAAGGCAATAACGTAGAAGTCACCTATTGAAGCAACAGGTACTTGAGCAGGCCSAAATGATTAAAGATGTGAAATACAGTGAGTCCAAAGATATCTCAGATCAATTTGAGAACTGTTCCTGCAGTTTTGTCATCTCCTTCAACATCAGAGAATTGGGATGGGGGCACAAAAAACACATTGGGGCACGTGGTGCACGTGTAAAGCCTGTTGCGGGAGGATGAGTGCGTTCAGCAGGCAGACCTTCTGATCTTCTGAGGTCAAAGCTTTTGCTTTCTATTTCCAGCTTTGATGTTGACTTAACTTTGTTAGGTTTTGAATTTCAGCTTTGTGTAGTACTTTCAGGCGTAATATTAAAGCGTTATTTGTGGTTCCACACATGACAAGGTAGGTGCTTTCCAAGTGCTTAAGAAATACAGTTTGTGCTTAAAGCCATAATGAAAGGAAACAGTTTACATGCAAGCTAGATTTTAACTCATGAAAATCTGTCAATGAACAGAATGAGGATGTGTTGGTGAGACTAGGGTGGATAGAGTACAGTGAGATGGTGACTGTGCAAACAAAAAAATGGTGGAATCACTGAAGTGTTGATACAGATTTTGCTACTTAGTTCTTCATTTGCACTGCTATTTTGAGCTGACGATTGCTTCTTCTATTAGCAATAAGCAGAAGAATAATAGAAATAATATAATGTGGAGAAAATCCCCACCTACTTGGTAACCTCTGATCTGTAATGTAAAATCCAGGGTTTACTGAAGACAAGAGATGATTCAGATGGTGAAGGTCTCAAGACAGGTCATCTCCAAAGGGAGAGAAAGGCCTTTATATGAGAAGATTGCCCCTTGGTGCATTATCAGAYACCTTAACCATCTG